CCTTATATCATGTTTTAAGCCATATCACTTCACCCAAAATAGAAGGAAGAGCAAAAGGTAAATAAGGAAAGTACTGAAATTCAAATGTCTGTATATTCTTATAAGTAAATAAAAGGACGTTCGGCTATTAAGAGAGCTTCACGTTAGTACTACTGCGAGGTTTGGGTGAGAAAACTCCCTATTTGGCCCATCCTCAGCGGCACACTTTGGAGCAAGTACCTGGGCCTTCCAATTTGTCACTCCAAACACCCTCTTTATCCCTGTACAGCCATCCTCTCTATCCCTGGATAACCTCCTTCTGTATCTCTGTACAATCCTCTGTGTTCCTCTGCTATCATCTCTCATATTCAGCTGCAATCACTCTTTGTATCTGTATGGAATCATCCTCTGTATCCCTGCACTACCATCCTCTGTATCCCTCGTTCATCTACAATCCTCCATTGAATCTCTAGATGGATGTCTGATTTTCTATTTCCCCCACAGTCTGAAACTTGCCTGTACTATCTCTAGGCTGAATCTATCAACCGCTTTCTTTCCTACTCCAAGCAGTCCATCACTCTGAAGGGGCTGTATCAGAAATCACCCAATATGGAGAATCACTATAGATTGAATCACTAAATTGAACAGAAGTTCTTTCGCAAGCAATCATCAATTATGAAATTGTTATTTGTTACAAGTTTTCTCAATGTTTTTTCTTCCTGCTTAACTCTTTGGCTGGGATATAAACCCCTGGAAAAGTGACTCCATGGTACAATGATTTAGATGTCTAGCTAGGTTTTCTTTTTAGGGAAAAATGTGTGTTTTTGGTGTTCGTTGGGCGACGTTTTTTTCTCTCTCTTTATCCATCTCCATCCTATGAGCTGCCACACTTTCACCCTCACAACACATTCATTTTCCTTATTTACTTGGGTGTCATTAAAATATAAGCCGTGGCTGGTTTGGCTCAGTGGATAAAGCATTGATTTGCAGACTGAGGGGTCCTGGGTTCAATTTCAGTCAAGGGCATATGCCTGGGTTGTGGGCTCAATCCCCAGTGGGGGTTGTGTAGCAGGCAGCCAATTAATGAGTCTCTCTCAGCATTGATGTTTCTACCTCTCTCTCCCTCCATTCCTCTCTAAAATCAATAAAAAATACATTTAAAAAATTAAAAATATGTTTGGCAGCAAGTTTTTTATTCAGTTATGGCAATTTATTAAACCAGAATAAAGTATTATCAATTACCAGAGATTTGGAAGACTGGTGTGGCTCCCTCAACAGCCTGACAGACAAAACGAAACACACAGCTGCCACGTCCTGACTTGAGAAGCCTGAGAGAGGGCTCCCTGGCATCCTTACTGGCCATGGCTCCTCTGATGCGGTCAGCAAGAGACCCTTGAATTCAGCTAGAACTCATCTCTACCCTTTCAATCATGTGACCTTACCCAAGCCACTTATCTCAGAGCCTCTGTGTCCTTTTCTGGGGAAAAAATAAACTCAAGAATTTGGAGGATTATTATATGAGAAATGAAATATATTATATTAAGTAATAAGAATAATTCAGAATATGATAGGTAACATTTTAAAAAGACAACATTTTAAGGAGTTGTAATATATTAAACTGCTATCTATTATATGATATAATAGCCCAAATCATTTTTCTGATTAACTTTACCTAAAGCAAGAATTTAAAAAAAATTTATAAGGTAAATATATTTGATGTTTCTTAGGATCATGCAGAATGCCAGTGATATTTATAGGTACATGAAAAAATGTTTGAAAAAATGGAAATAAATGGAAAGCCACCTTGTCCACATGTTATCCAGGAATGAGGTTGAAAAAATGTTAAGGAACATGGTTAACTGTTTCACAATTGTATTAGATTTTGTACTTCCCTTTATGGTCTGAATAACAGAGTTGAATAGAATAAAAAAATAAATACATTTCCAGAAGCCTCTGCCATGTTTCACATCTGAATGTCTCATTGTTATTTCATTGCTTTTTCACATATGAGGAGCTTCATGTTTTGGATTCAACTTTCTTTCCTGCCTTCATATTTTTTTCTTTTTAAAATTAATTTATTTATTCATTAAGGTATCACATATTTGTCCTCAACCTCCCATTTCAATCCCCCACTCTCCTATCATGCCCCCACCCCCTATTGCCCTTGACCACTGGTTGGGTTCATTTCTTTTAAGTTCCCCAAATGAAAACTTGAGAAAACAAACAAACAAACAAACAACACTTCAATTTACTTGTGTTTGGAGCAAGTAGTACTTTTCATATTATTTCATGTTTCCCTGTCTGCATACATGGAGGTTCCACCAACCTGTACTAAACTAACTTTAGCTAACTCTGGTCCTTCAAAATCTAACTAACCACTTTTCTATGAAACCTAGTTATCCCAGCCCATATCTACCCCAGGTATGAGCACAACTGTGCTTCTTTTCAGTACCGAATCCATCACTCTGGTCCATTTATTGCTGTTACTAGCTTTTTATTTTCTACTTTTCTACACTCTCCT